AATATACACACCACACACAACATGTCACGACAAAACCAACACCATAATATATTTATTATAGTGATAATAATATGTAATATATGTATATGTTGTGTGTTGTGTGGTGTGTATGTAATTATGTATGTATATAGTTTAATATATATATATATAATATATATTATAATTACACATATTACATTATATATATACATGCTATATATATATAGAGTTGTTATACTATATATTTATATATAGCATATATATTAATTTATATTAATATAATATATTTTATTCTATGTTATGTGCGTGTGTGTTGATGTTCCGTCACATAAGCTGGTAATACTATGTGGAGGGAGGAGTTAAGACTACGTGAAAAAAAAGAGTGAGCTGAACTATTAAGGAGACAGATTGGTCTGTCTGGATGTTTTTCATAATTTGTAACAATCAGGCAAGTAAAAACCGCCCTTGAATGCTGATGAACGTATTTTGTTGCAAAGAACCGTTTTTACCTAATTATGTTGGATAACACTCTTTAGTAAATGGTTATTGTGAACGTCCATGGAGGATTCTGCTCGACATGGTCAAACATAGTAACTATGTTAAACTGAAACATGCAACATATAGTTGCATCGTGTGTCATGTAGACCAGGACTGGAATTATACAGATATTCGTCTGCTAAGCGTAAGCAAAAGACCTACGAAGGTGAGGTCTCTACGGATTTTTTATTTTTTCCATTGGCAGTATTTTTGTTAATTTTTATGAATACAGATGGTTTAATCTAAATGAAGAGTTTAAAGCCATATTGAAATGTTTTCCCATGTCCAAATAAATCATACATTAAAATTACTGAAACTATTCTGGTATGAACTGATATGATGTGCAGACCGAACGGCATAGCGGCGGAAATTCCACCTGATGTCACTTCAGCTGGGTCTTCCAGCTGGGCATCACCAAAGGCAGAACCACAGTCCCAGAGAAGGACTTTAAACCTTCAGCTTTGAAACACACGCCAGAAATGCTGCTACGGAAAAGCGGCCAGCCCTGGATACGGTATTTAACCATGTCGAGAAGAATCATGCATGGACGTTCACAAAAACCAGTTGCTAATAGAGTGTTATCTAACATAATTATCATGTGATGATTGACAGATACCATACAACAACAATGGTTCTTGGCAACGCAATGTGAAAATACGTTCGTTATTATTTATGGGTTTTTTTCCATGTCTGATTGTTACCAATTATGAAAAAAAAACTACCAACAGACCTATCTACAAGCACAAATTGACAGATTAATGGCTACCTACATAACGTACTATACACACACACACACAATGTATATGTATATATATGTATAAAATCACATACACGACTTAGAAAAAGGACCCGCCTGGACATGGCGTGGGGCCCGAATGCATCTCTTTTGGCAAAGCCTTTGGGTTGCCCTCCTCTCCGTCCCGCAGAGGAGGACTTTGTACGTGGGATCACAACCCCCTATCCTCACTCTAAGGGGGTTCACATACCCATATGTTTGCTTTGAGGTGTGGTGATTGCAGGGTGATATGTACCTAGTATCAATAAAAGACTTATTAGGTCCCTTATTCTAGCCTGCTCTTGGCCTTATCTATGGCGGATAATGCCAAACAGCAAGCTTTTCAAAATGTTTTATCCCAGTGCCTTAGATACAGTGTCTCTACTGACTGACAGCATGGATGGCAACGCAATGTGAAAATACGTCATAAATCTAGTCCCAGACCATCCTTAACACTTGAATATAGTTAAGAAATCGCAAGTATTCTTGGTACTATAATGATGAGATCACAGAAGACAACCACAGACTAAATATGTGCATTCAGAAGCACATGGGGGTCATAGGACCCTTAAGAATCTCTCTCCCTAGGGAGGTTTTCGGGGATATCTAAGAAACTGTCAAGAAGGGCAGGCAAGGAAAGTGGCTGGCTTTTACAGAGCTTTAGCACCATGTCAGATGAGCCACCAATTTTTCATCCCCAAGATGCACATACTATGACCCACAATTTGAAATGGCAAACTGGCACTCGAGTTCTCTAAAAGAACTGGTAATGCTAGTCTAATAGCAAGGTTGAGGTAACGTTCAATCAAGCACGATTACCTTCATCAGAAGGCAACTGTTGACTTGTATATCATATAAGGCCAGATTTTACCAAGACAAGTTATGATGGGTTATCATACCCAATTATTCCCTAACCTGGACAGCTAGGTTAGCTTGTCTTTTTCTAACTCTTTAACAATCCCTAGGAAACTTTCACCCTCCCCTGCAGGTGGAAGAGGGCTGACAAAGTCCCTATCCCTAGAAACAAAGGAGGCATTATCTCATTTTTCCTCCTCAACTGTTTGGGGAGACGATGAAGAGAATAGTACTAAACCAGCATGCACTATCCCACCCTGCTCGTCACGAAAAACTCACTGCCTCGCTCATTTTTTTGGCCGCTTTATTTTCTCTTGTGAGCGCTATCCCTGGATCCTCAGGAGTGTCTTTAGGCGAGCCCACACCATATGATCCAGTCCTTCACCTAGGTGATTCCCCTTCCTCCTTCCCGTATA